AATGAAATGCAAATATTTCCAGGAAGTAGGTAGATAACATCTAACAGTTTAACATTTAATAGTTAGCATTAAAACTGCACCATCTCAGTCCTCTTGACTCAGTTCTGCAAATGTCTCATCTTGTCAAAGGAGTTTGGAGACAATGTCCCTGATATCTGTCACAGCTCTATCCTTTCACGACTAGGTAAACCCAGTGCCTCACACCTGTAAAATGTGTTCTGTGTAATAGTGAGAGGAAGAAGATTGGACCACTTAGAAGTAGAAGGAGTTTTCTGGTAGTGGTGAGGTTATGAATGGCTGAGCTTTAGCATTCATTATGTGAAGAAAGTTCATTTTGAGGAATTGAGCAGGAGACACAACTGAAAGGAGCTTAACACAATCACTCCTACCAGTGAAAAAGTCACTTAGTTTCTCTTTCTCCTTGCTTTCCATGTTTGTTTTCAATAAAACAAACGCAAAATAAAATAGAGAAGGACCACAACCTGTTTACCACGATGGACCCTGTGAAAACCAGAAAGCTTTTCTATCTATACATGAAACACGAAGTGACAAGACAGACCATTTAACACACAAAAAGCAAACTATTACCTCACAGGTCCCCAGTCTCAGTGTCCACCTCCTGTTCCATCTGTGAAATTATTCTTGAACATCCACAGGTGTTTGCCAAAACTGCTGGCTTTGTGTCTGCATGGCACCTGGTACCTTCATTATCATTGGGCTGCCTAGACCCTAACTGATTCGGTAACCAGACTATGAGATATACAGAGTGTAATGCAATTACAGACAAAAATATCACACCAAACAAAACAAGTATGTCACATATCCCTTCAGAAATTCTAAGATTGTTGTTTAGCCTGGCTAGAAATTTATCACTTTATTGACCTCTTCAAGAACCAGATTCTGATGTTCCTTACTTTTCTCTATCATTTGTCTGAAGTCAGTTTCATTAATTTCTGTACTAATTTTTATTATATATTCCTTCTGCTTGCTTTCAGCTTAGTGTGATCCTCTTTCTCTACTTTCACAAGATATACATTTATATTATATAGTTTACATTTTTCTTCCTTTCTAATATGTGAATTTAATGCTATAAATTTCCCTCTAAGCACTGCTTTTGATGTATCTCACAAATTTTGATAAGTGCAATTTTGATTTTGTTCAAATTATTTTTAAATTTTCCTTGGGACTTATTTGATTTATTTATCTGTTTATTTATTTGATTATTTAAAACTATGTTGTTTAATTTCCAAATATTTGGGGAGCTTCCAGATACTTTCCTGGTATCAATTTCTAGTTTAACTCTGTGATGAGACAGTAACAGAATTTCTGAGAATATATTTCATACTATTTTTATTCTTTTGTGTTTATTAAAGTTTGATTTAAGGTCTAGAATGTGGTCTGTTATGGTGAATGCTTTGTGTGTATTTGGGAAGAAGGTACATACTCTTATTTTGAGGTGGAGTGTTCTGCAAAGGCCATTAAGGGCAAAGTGATTGATTAGTGATGTTTAAATCCTTCATATTCTCACATATTTTCTGCTTGACTGATCTATCAATTACTGAGAATCGAGTATTAAGGTGTCTGATTCTAAGAGTGAATTTATATCTTTCTGTTCTGCTTTCGTCTCACGTATTTTTGACTCTCTGTTGTTAGGTGCAAAAGCACTTAGGATTATCATGCATTTATGGAGAATTGACACTTTACCATTATGCAATGCTACACTATAACCTTGATCATCTTTCTTATTCTGATGTCTACTTTGTCTGAAATTAATATAGGTGTGGTAGCTTTTTCATTAGCATTAACATGTGTATCACTCAGAGTTCTCAAGGAAAACAGAATCAGATACATGCTCACCTGTAGCCATAGCCACGTGAAGAGGTTTAGTTCAAGGGAGCTTCCCGGGGTGTGGGGGATGGCGGCAATTTGAATTCTCTGGGGAAGGCTGGCAGCTGGGAATTTGTAGGCAAGACCTGATGCTGCAATCTTCAGCTAGTTTCTTCTTTCTTGGGGAATACTCACTATCAATCTTAAAACTTTTAGCTCATTTGTTGAGGTCTATCCTTCTATCCTTTTCTTTTCTCTTTTTGTGGTACTGGGATTTGAACTCAGGACCTTGCACTTGCTAGGAAGATGCTCTAACACTTCAGCCATACCCCCCAGCCCCGGATGAGGTTTATCCTTATTATCAAAGCTGACTATTTTCATTTAAAGTCAAATGACTGTAGATGTTAACCACATATGCAAAACAGCGCCACAGCAACACCTGAATTAAATTTGATTAAATAATTGGGTGCTATAACCTAGCCATAAGCGTGCTCACCAGAGCCCACCATTTGTCAACCTGGCAGCCACATACATCTTTTAGAGCCACACTTCATCTCTAAATAAAGAGAATAACCAGGGCCTGTTTCCTCATAGTGTGATGTAACTATGAGAGGACTGGCGTACTCAAAGGGGGTGCAGAGCCCTTGGTGAGGTTCACGCTTCTCCTTCATATCCACATTTAAATACTGTTGTGTGAAGTTAGCTGCTATCAAAACCCCTTATGTTATATGAAAGACAATAGGAAGGAAGAAAGTAAAGATGCTTGAAAGATATGTATTTATATATGTGTGTGCACATAACACATGTACATAATACAAATATACTTACATACCATCTAACATGTGTGTCATGTGTAATCTTTATTATAATGAGCCAAATCACAATTTTAATTACTGCTTTGTTTGTCTTATCTCCAAAGGCAATATTAAAATTAATATGCTTACAGTAAGGCTACTATAATTTTTACTTTATTTAATTAATATTTTAAAGCTTTCTTTATTTAACTTGCCTTTGAGGTGATTCTTATAGATCAATAAGAAATACAGAAAAGCTAAAGAATTATTTCACGTTGGCTCTAAATCATTTTAAACTTAAAGGAGTCCAGCTGCCAGTCCAAGGACCCCCATCACAGTTACATATTCCCACCACACGTGTGAAGCCGTTTAAGGTTTTAGTACATATAATTAGATTCCTCTTTCCAAAACAAAATAGAGACATGCATGAATTAGGGAGACAGAAGTAAAAATATTGCCCTTAAACCTAAGGGCAGGTGAGTTCCCTGGCACTTTATTCCCATCCTCCCCTGCCTGGCCTAGTTGCCTCTTCCCTATGACAAAGAGCCCAGCAATCAGCAAGTGGGCCTCTGTGGTGGGAAGTTCCCAGAGTCAGGGAAGTCTGCCTGAGGGCCAGCACACAGTACTGGCTTCTTCAGCTGCTATAACAAATTACCATAAATCTGGTGACCTAAAACAAAACTCATAATTTCCTGACAGTGTTGGAGACCAAACATGCAAAATCAGTTTCACTGAGTAATGTCAAAGTGTGGCAAGTCTGCTTCTTCCTGGAGGCTCCAGGGGAGAATCCGGTTTCTTGCCCTCCGAAGCTTCCAGAGAACACCTGAATTCCTGCCTCACTCTACTTCCTGCTTCTGTCCTCAGAGCTCCTATTTTCTCTCTTGTCCTACTTTCCTAATTTTTTTCTTTTTGGCAGCATTGGGATTTGAACTCAGAGCCTTACACCTGCTAGGCAAACACTCTTACTGCTAGAGCCACTCCTCCAGCCCTCTTCGGTCCTTTTACTTCCTTCTTATAAGAACCCTGTGATTAACTGGACCCACCTGGATCATCCAGGATAATTTTTCAAGCTCCTAGACAAGCCTCTTTTGCCATACAGGGAGCATCTTTGGGTTCCAGAAATTGGGATGTGAGCATTTGGGGAGGGCTCAGACACCACTCTAGTCCATCCGTTCTCTAGTCTCACTCATCACATCACTCTCTCCTACAAGGAGGGTTGAGTGAGGCAAGTGAAAAAAAAGACAAAAAGTCTTTCTGTGGAAAGCCATCTTCATTAATACAGGAGAAAAAGGAACCATAAAGATAGGAAAAAAATGAAAGCCACATTATATCTGGTTGTCATGATCTGAGACTTTTTCACATAGAGAGAGCACAGGTAATCTCCAGGTGTTTGATGGGTGTGCAGCTGGGGCAGGCCAGGGCCTGTCTGCTCTGATTGTGTCCTCACTCCTTCCCTGCCTCAGAGGGGCTGGCCTTACATGAGGGCTCTAAGGAAGATTCAGGCCACTGGGCACTGGTAGGAAATTAGCAAATGTAGGAAAGAAAATTCAATACTTTTCGCCCTCTTCTTATCTTCTAAAGCTGCTTCTCCCATGTGGTGCTAGCTCCTAGTGCCTTGGTTCTGCTGAGTAACTTCTGGGAACTGCTGACACCTGCCTCACCACCCTCCAGCCTGGGCCAAAGGAAGGAATGGGGGATTCCTATGTCTCTAGTCTCTCTTGTTTTACCTCCGCTTTTATTTTGCCTTGAAACTCTTCCATCTCTGGGTAACCAGTTACCCAATTTCTGTTTTTAAAATGGTGCATGTTAGCATTTATTGTCACATAACAAACTCTCCCAAACCTTAATGGCTCATAACAGCAAATTTGTTATCGCACTCTTTCCGTGATCAGGGATCCAGGTGTGGCTGGGTGGGGCCCTCGGCCTCCATGCATCTCTCAGTGGTGTGGGTGACTGAAGACATGATTTATAGACATTCCAGAGCTTTCTCACTCTTGTGGTTGGTGGCAGGATTCAATTCCTCTCAGTGTTGATCTGAGAGTCTCATGAGCTGTTATCAAGGAGGCTTCACTTTGTTCCATGCCACTTAGTCCTCTTTGTGGTGCAGCTCACAATATGGCAGCTTTCTTTTCCAGCCAAGGTGGAAGTCACAGTGCAAACCAGTATTGAAAGCAACATCTGACCCATCCCTGTTCTGGTCATGTGAAGGACGTTGCTGGACCCTCATTCAGGGAGGGGCATAACACCAGGGCGTGGCCAGCAGAAGGAGATCATTTGTGTCATCTGGAAATTGGGCAGCTGCAGATGCACACGCCACGGTTGGATGTCCTTGCATATCCTGACCCAGACTGTTTTCTGGATTCACATTAGATGTACTTTCCAAGTCCATCCTCCACTGATGGGCTGCCTCTCTGTGTTGCTGCTCTCTACATGGAAACACAAAACAGTGTATTAGAGAGTCTACCCTGCCAGCACTTCCTGTAAGTGTTTTAGGTCACTTTCACCTCCCTGTAGTGAAAGCACTGACCAGGGGAAGATGTGTATCTATGAGACAGAGAAATAGTGTCCTTTCTGTTCTGCAGGCTTGCAGGAGCTTCTCAGGAAAAAATGCCTTGTCTAGATCCATCCAACCCTACCCTCAATAGCTCCAAAAGGGGAGTGAGGATAAGGATGTATTCCCATTGTATTTATTTTAAACATGCCTGCATGTTTGTGCTTGGAGAACTTGGCTTGTCATTTAGAAGGGCAGTTGCTTCTCCCTGAAGGTCATTTAGATGGAGACATGGTAATCCTTCAGCACACAATCAGTGGATCCCACTCCAGCTGATAAGCAGCCCTTTTGCACACTGTTTTTTCTTTGCAGTTGCATTTTGCCAGTAATCCCCGCCTTATGAGCAGCTCAGACTGGGTATCAGAAGGCTTGGGGATTGGATGTGTTATCAGACTCACTGCAGCTGTTCCAGGTGAAGTGACATATCTGTCAGAGTGGTCATTTCAAGCATTTGAGGAAATTTCTCCTCCTATCATTTTCTTGAACTTTAGAAGTGAATTTTCATAAAAATTCACTTTTTCTGTCTTAGGAAGCCATGTATTAATCATGAGCTTTTTCCCTTCTATCATTGCTACCCAACGTCCATGCAAATGAAGACCATCCCACCCTCCCTTAGCAAATGTGAGATGCCTTTGTACAAGCGCATGGATGACGTTCCCTTTTCCTGTACTGGTACGTACAGTCCTCTCTGCACAACACACAACAGAAATTTAGCTCATTTGACACTTCCTCACAGATCTTTATTTTCCTAGTCCCATGCCCAGAAGAGGCTTCAGATGAAGAACAATGCATGAATAAATACACCAATAACAATGCAGACCACTGTTACTTGGGGCTTACTATGTAGACCAAGCAGTGTCCAAGGTGTCTGACAGGTTCCATTTTATTTATGCCTGGTGATAAGATCCTTAATTCCTTTTACTGGAGTGAAAACTGACCTTGGAAAGATGAAGTGACTTTTCTCAGACTGTATAGTGTTTGAGTGGCAGAGTGAGAGTCTAGCTTCGGTGCATGGACTCTACTTCCTGTGCCCACTACCAATGACTCCTTCTCCTTCTACTCCTAACAACCAGGTTCTACACCTAGGTCATTCCAGAATATACTGTGAAGTTCTATGCTTTCTTCCTTTGGTCAATTCCTTCTCTACTTAGGAATAATTTTGTAAAAACTGACTGGATCTCGTGCTATGTTTAAAATGCATAACATTAGACCAAAATCGAAATTCCTTTACATATCCCCCTGTGGTCTGTTCCATTCTCCAGCTGACCGCTCCTCCAGCTGCCTTGGTTTCCTCAGTTTAGGTGTACCATTTCTTATCTACCCGGATGGGTTCCCGACTCCTTCTCCTAACACAGGTGTTAGCATTAAATTGTCTCCTCAGAGAAACCTGCCTCTACAACCCACGCAGGTCCCCATTGTTCCTTATCTGACTCCTGTGGCATTGGTGGTGAAGGATTTCCCATAATTTTTGTGTTTTTCAGTTTTTTTCTATCTTTGTATGCGTCAAAGCTCCACAGGTTTATGAGACTGATATTCACTTTCAGAATACGGCACTTCTGCACCCTCCCAAATGGTAAACACCCTGAGCTGCTGCTACTTATGAAAAGCTCACATGTAAATTTGCCACTCAAGGGAAGGATTTGGAATGTCACACCCAGAAGAACATACAGGACCAAGCGCAGATTCTCTGGTTCCTTATTTTATCCATTTTTTCATCCAATGCTGTGGTATCTGAATAAGACTCAAGTTAGGAAATTAACTGTGTACTCAGAGTCTCGTACCCTACTGGATAAGGCAAATGGATATATGCATCTTTCCACTGCTATAGTTGAGTGTGGAGAAAGGGTAGGGGCTGGGTAGCATGGGTGGGAAGCCCTCCTGCAGTCCAGGAGGTCTTGGAGTGTTTACTGCAGCAGTCTGAGTCTTACATTCTTGCATTCATTACTCTCCTGGGCACAGGCACTGGAGTCAGGTGGGCATGCATAAGGAGATCAGAGTACACAAGGTGCCTCTGGCTTTGCAGCATTAAGCAGAAAGATGGGATTTCTAACAAATTCCAATACTAGACAATTTCTGAACTTGCCTGTTTGTCTGCCTTACTACCAATGACACACGTGATGTCCCCTGTCCCAAAGCAGGTGATCTTAAGCTGCACCTCATTTCATTTCACACAATATTAGGCACCAAGTGGGCATGCCAGCCTTCTGCCTTCAGTTGTTGGTCCCGTACTTCAGAATTAGAAAATGCAGCTGCTGCTGCCCTCACCATGGCAGACCTCCTGCTCATACTGATTGATGTCTTTCTCTCCAGCTTACTGATTTCTTTGCACAGTGAAGCCCATGCCAATACGGCACTGTTACCTTGTGATGTGAAACTGAAGAGTCTTTATTATGGGACTCATTCCCTCCCCCAATCTGCTGTGACGTTATATATAAGTTCCACAGTTCTTGAAACTCCACCTTCTCCCTCTGGGATCCATGCACAGCAAACATGAAACTATTGCTGCTTTCAGAGACATGTGCTTATCTCAGTTCTGAACCCAACAGTGGGTTTCACAGCTTTTGAGAAACTGTTTTCATTTTATTATGGGGACAAATTAAACAAACGTATCACCTCTGGCATGCAGCAAAGCAGTGTTTTTTAAATTAGGAAGACGGTTTTATTTGGGAAATTCAATTATTAAGTCAAGTTTGCATAAATTGGTGATCTTGATCTCTCTTTTTTGTGTGTGGTGCTGGGGTTTAACTCGGCCTACACCTCGAGCCACTCCACCAAGACCTTTTTTGTGATGGGTTTTTCTCAAGACAAGGTCTCATAGGCTATTTGCCTTGATTTGGCTTTGAACCCCAATCTTCCTGATCTCTGCATCCTGAGTTACTAAGATTACAAGCATGAGCCACCAGTGCCTGGTTCAGTGATGACTTCCTAAATAGATTTTTTTCTTTGGTATAAAAAGAAAAAAAATAGTATTATTTACTTAAAATAATTATAATGATTCTTCTTGGTAACTATACTTATATCTACATATTAAAGATAAATTTTATAGACACACAAAGATATATATCATAATATCTTTAAAACCAATTATTTAAAGCCATGTGAGGAAATGAAATACCACATGGAAATAATTGTGTCGAGAATGAGGATTTGCTGTGGATCTCTTTCAGGATATGTCAGAATAGCCAGCCATGTGTCTGTGTCCTGCTGTGTTGTCTGTCTGTATTTGCATAAATAATTTCTACTTTATCTTTGCACCAATAGGCCTTAATTATTCTGTTTCTTCAAGAATAAGCTACCACAATCTCAGCACTTGCCAGTAACTGTAATACTTTTTTAATAGCAGTAAATCTGAAATCTTTCTTCAGGCTCAAGCACTTTAATTGCTGAATATGTTGAAGGTGCAGTGAAGTCAAGACAGTATGCCCACATATAGGCCCTGAGGAACCTTCCTGGCAACTTTTGTCCAAAGACCCAAAGCCATCTGTGATTTGCATTCACATGAACTTTGTGGAATTAAAAATAAACCTTCAACCATAATATTTATTTGCCTTCCTTTGTTCCTTGCTCCAGGAGGAGAGGTAGTAGGCTGGGTGCAATCATTTGCTATGAAGCCCTAAGGTTGAGCAGTGCTTACTGCATCTACACTTAACAACAGAGAATTCACGCATGGTGGTTTTCTAGGCAAGGAGAACGATACTGAAATACAAAGTTAGAAGGCCCTTCATGAAGACAATAGTGTTAAATAACAACTACGAGCTCTATGCAGCTGGAATTATCTTATAATTCTTGCAAAGGAACATAAATGCCAGGAACTGAACATATTAATTAGGACAGGCAAGGTTATGCTGCAGAAACAAATGGTCCTGAAATCTCGATAGCTTACAGCAGAGTTGTATTTCTTGCTCATGTACATTTCTGTCATGGAAAATTGGCTGCAAAGTTCTCCCTATGTTCTCTTTCCTCCAGATCTTAGGCTGAGGCAGCATTTCCATCCCAACTGTTGCTGGGCTCAAGGTAAACTGAAGAGCTAGTGGGCTCAAAGTTTCTGCTCACAAATGGCTCAGGTCGCTTTTACTGGTTACACTTTGGCCAAATCCTATGTCAATTGGTCATGAAAATATAATTCCCCTAGCAGAAAGGGTGTCATAAGTGACAAGATCATATCTGAGGACAAGTAGATTGAAAGGGTTCATCCTCTCATAGAATGGTGCAATGCATACCTGGGAACATTGGTACAATTTACTAAATTTGGGTCTTTCAAATCTAAATGTTTCTTAAATTTCCTTTGCTTTTTAAAGACACATCATTTCACAAGCAAATATGCATTTGTTACTGGATCTTCAAATATGTCAAGCTTCCCATTGTCCATGGTTCTAAGAGGGGAAACTGCTCTGAGCTCATGACAGTTAGGATTCAGGGTCTGCACCATTTTTTTTTGCTCAAATCTTTTAATTCTCCTGACAGTTGTAGATATTACTATCCCATTTTAAATATTGGCAAGCTAAAGTCCAGAGAGTTGAAATGGCTCGATCAATTTTCTATTACCAGTAAGTGTCAGGGTTCATATTCTTAGATGGTTTTATTCTATCTCTCGGTAGACCAAGGGTTCCCTGTGAAGACTCACAAAACAAAGATTTAGAAATAATAATGTCTATGATTTTCTTTCAGGAATACAGTAGTAAGTGTGTTTATCCATGCATTCTTTTACTTATTCAAAATACTTAAGGAAATCCACCATGTACCAGACACTAGTGACACCCAGGGTTTGGTGAACATAAAAAGAGGTCAACACTGGTTTCTGAACAGGAAACCAGTTCTTATCTTATCTTCTTGCCTATGTTCTTATCAACTCTGGAAAATCATGTTTTTGAAGGATGCTCATTTCAGGAGATCTTGGAGGCCATTGACATTTTCTACTGTATGCTGCTATGTCTGTCCATTCTACTGCCCAGTATATAAATAAATAAATTATAATAAATAAATAAATATATACAAACCTTATCCAAAATTGTGCTTACTGTCTTTCATTATTTCTTCTGTGTGTATAAGCCTGTGAGAGATGTAGTATTTATGTTTGTTGCATATATTTAATTTTATGACTTGAATAATATGTTAACTGAAAATAATGAAATCAGTAGAGTTGCATCATTCAATTAAAATTGCCATCAGTGGCTTAATGAGAATCCTGTAGTATTTGGAGGTAGATTTTAATAGCACTATTGATTGGGAAGAGCAATGAATTTGTCATAATTGCTTTCAATGACTAGAGCCTTTTATGAGACTTAGAAAAGGCTCTTTCATGAAGAGCTGAAGTACTGGTATAAACCTCTTCAAATAAACTGACTTGTTAGGGCAGAGAAAAGCAAACTTTTCTCCTTAGTCTGCATTCTTACTGTATTGTTGTGAAAAAGTCCATCTGAAATGAGAGTGTGGGACTGAGCCTTTCCTCAGCAAAAAGCAGGGTTTTGATGGTGGAGGGAATCTCTTCCAACATCTTTGCATGTGCCAAACAAAGCAAACGAGGCTTTATTTGTTGTAAATCTTAGTTTTCCTTTTCTTGTTGCAGGAGTAAAACCATCATGTTTAAGATTATTAGGAGGTGGATATGCTGTGCCACACATGCTTGGAAGCATTTGAAATATAACAAGTCCAGTCTTGTTAGAAACATTTACTGGACATAATTTTTTATATGTGTTCTGTGGGAGTTTCTTCTGGTCTCCCTTTGGTCTGCTCATTTCAGTTAGAAAATAGGAGGAACTCTGTAGGAAGGTAGACTTGGTCCTCCCTCCCTCCCTCCCTCCTTCCTATTTGCTATGCTTGAGATCAAACTCAGGGCTTCACACATATTAGGCAAGTGCTCTACCACTGAGCTACATTCCAGTCTTTTCTAGTGTATCTTTCAATAGGTTCTCTGTATAATATTGTTTTTCAACTTGCACCATAAGTGAACCAGAGTAACTTGTTATTCTTATTAACTTTTAGGACATTTTAGGAAGTTATTTTTAAGGCGATACGCTTTTCCTTGAGTTGCCCTAATGTACTAAAGAGTTAGAGCCAGCATGTAGTATTTTTAAATGTTCTTCTGATAATACATTATGTTATTATTCATTTAAAATGGGATTAATCTCTGTCCCACTCTTCTTCTTGCTCATGGAGAAAAAGGCTAGTGCTTTAACAGATTCCTAAGTGTAGCCTTTTCTTTTGTGCCAAGTAGAAATCTGGGAAGAGCTTTCCTAAAGGGCTGTGATGCTCTGTGGTACCCTAGAGACTCTGGAAGAATTTTATTTAGGTAAAGTTTACATACAATAAGATCCACCCTTTTAAGTATACCTTTTGATAACTTTTGACAACTCTGTGATCTGCACAGACACCAGAACCGTCAATCCAGGGCGCATCTTCTCCTAGTGAGTTCAGACATCGTGGGCTATCACAAATGCAATAGGGTTTACTCATCTTCCCTTCATGGCCTGCTCTTGGGTACAACATCTGTTGAGCTGTCTCCACTTGTTAGGAAAATCTAGGTCTATTGTTATATTTCTTGGAAAGGAAAAAAGAGAGCAAAGGAGAACATGGCAAAACTGTACAACAAGCTCATATGACCCAGCCTTGCTCACACACACATACACACACACACATCCTGCCTCTGCCTTCTCTTAAAAGAAAGCAGTGCAACTCAGTTGGGCCTGGATAGTGATTTCAGGAGGAATCCTACAGATTCCTCAGACAAGAAGCATCCCTTCAGATAAACTGAGAACAGAATGAGAGTATGGCAGGCATTAATTTTGGAGTGGTCTGGAACTTGTTGCAGTTACCTCATTTTACTGCATAGAACTGGCAGTCAGAGGGACAAAGCATGGTGCTTTCCCCAGCCAGTGTTTCTCAAGCACTGAAGACCCCAAGACTTATTACTAAAGTAGTCTATGGGACCCAGAAGTAGAGCATCAGAACATGCATTTGATTGCTTCTCAGAATATAAGGAAAATGTGGGGAAACAGTAAATATGGGAAGGACTAACAAATAATGAAAGTTCTTGCTAGTGACTGTGAAAATCCCAAGAAAGAATGTGGCATTCAAGCACCTTGTGTCTGGAAGCAAGATCTTCAGAGAAAAGGGTCAGATGTATGTGAATAAAGAAATAAACAAACAAGGAAATGTGAATTTGTTTATTAGTTATTTCAGTGATAAACCAGTGAAGCCAAGCATGTCTCTAGAAAAGAAAATGATTTGTCAAATTTTGAACATGACATAAGTTTTCACTTTCCTGCTTTAGATTAAAAAATAAGTAAAGGATTTGTCTTTATTTTTCAAATAAAAGCATTAATCTGAGCACTTTTATGTCACATGAGTGAACCTGAGTGTTCCAATGATATTCTGAAAAGTCAGCATATGGCTTTTAACCGTAACGAAGACAGTATGCTATCCTTAATAAAGAAGTGGTTATTTGGGACAGGAAGTACATATGTGATTATAATTACATTTGGCAAATGTTTACTCCCTCCAAATAAGTATCTGGGTGGGGTTTGCCTAACACATGTGCATTTCCATTCTGTGAGTCTTTTGAAAAAAAAAATATATATACAGTAAGCTTTTCATAAGCTTGTGGAGATTTCAGATCTGATCTTTTAAAGAAAAAGTATGTCAGCTGCACATGCAGTCCAACTGCTTTGGTCATCAAGGTTTTGAAAATCCTGGCAAAGTGACCCTGGGTCGAACCCATCCTGGTTCTATGGGTCAAGACGTCCATCAGTTTCAGATTTGGCTGGACATTTGAGCTTGGAGTATACCATTCATGGTGGGTTTCACAGGGTCTCAGGAATGTTCTGAAGTTCTGTGAAATATTTTTGATTATATATGCAGATGTTTGAATAACTTTCATTAGATATACAAAGAGGTCAGTGATGTAAATAGACTAGGATTGTATCTGAAATTCACACTGCTGTTCCTTTCCAACCTTGTCCTCTGTCAGCTTCCCAGGAGTCATCCAAGGTGCATCTTCTTGGTCCCATGAGATGTTTGAAGGAACCAAGTGACCTTTTTACAATCAGTCCATCCTCAGGTCAAAGGCCATCCCTCTTCATAGGACTTTGTATTTACCTGTGTGCCTTTCTGTACTGGAGAGTTTTAAAATACATCTTAAAAGATATGTGTCCAACTCATTGCTATGCTGAATCCTCCCACACTTACGGGAGACTCTTCTGTAAAGTTTGCTGTATGGGGGAGAAGGTGCATGTTTCACTCAGTCACAGCCACTCATTCCTTCACTCATTTAACACATATATAATGAGTGCCTATTAAATATTTGAATGTTTGCTTTTAAGTCCCTATCTAATACAAGTTATGAAACTTTAAATAGCACTTGATATTCAGCTTGCTTGTATTTTTGTCAAACTATTGAAATTTTTGCTTCTATGTTGGTTAAAGTTGGTTTATTCGATAGATTTTGCTTAAATTTAAATAGGAAACACACACTTTATTTGGTACTGATTTATGTGTTACAGATATATTTAAATACAATTTTGTATGCCCGTAGCTGAAAATCATTTTAAACCTCAATGTATAGAAAGCGAATTTTAAAGATGATTTACAAAGGAAGGATTTGGTACTTTCTAAGCGTGAAGAATTTATCTCAGGAATATTTTATTCCTGGAACTCTGGGAAGAATTTGTGTCTTCTAAATAAATCTATATGGTTGTGCAATTTTCATGTATATTTTCATTTTCTCATACTTCCAGTGCAGAGCCTCCCACCTCATTCTTAGAGGATGAAGTCGGTAATGACAAGCAAATACTTGGGATCGGGTCCATCTCATGGGCTAGATGTGCACTGTCCCATACGCTAGAAACATGTGGCTATTTAGAATTGAATTTAAGATAAGTATGATAAAAACTCACGTTCGTAATTGCTTGAGCTACGTTGCCTGTGCTTGACGGTGGCTGTGGCTCTTGGCTGGCACACTGGGCCTCTCGGACCAAGTACATCCAAGAGCTGTGCACTGAGGTCATTCCTAATATTTCAATATTACAGCAGTGCTGAAAAAAACAACTTTATAAATACATTTTCATTCACATCTATTGTATATCCTAAAAGTGAAGGCATTCATTCTTCACCTCTCAGTGAATAGTCAAAGAAAACTGTTATGTGACTAGAACTGTGACACAGAAATAAGTAAAATAGTTAAAAAAAAAAAATTCCTGGCTTCATTCGCTAATTCTAAAGGTTAAACAGTTAACAAAATAAAAGTGAATGGGTGATTGAGTGGGTGAGTAAATAATAAATATGTGAATAAAGTTGCATTAAAAGAGATTAACAGTTTTTTGTATCAGTTGGGTTATTATTTTGATTAAAAACATCTGCTCCCATCATGTCAAGCTGTGATTTTTGCCTGTGATAACTTTTGTCCAACAGGAGGTTTTAACATAACATGCTTAAACTTCTCCATCTCTTTCTTTAAGGTTCATGCTTTTGTGGGAACTTTAGACCAAAGAGCACAAACTAGAAAGGAGAGACTGAATGCTTGCAGAGTGGCTCAAGTGTTAGAGCGCCTGCTTAGCAAGCACGAGGCCCTGAGTTCAAACCCCCATACCATCAAAAACACAAAGGAAAGACTGATCATTTTAGTACATGAAAATGTGTAATTTCAACTCAATGGTACAAAGATGTCATTTAAAAAGTGAAGAAATAAAAGGACCAGAGAGGGTGTCACAATGAATACAGCTGATAAAAGTTCTCTCTGCTATAACATGAAATAAACAAGTAAATAAAACTGTATATGTATTGATAAAATATGCATGTATTTTTGATGAATTTGTCTAAATGGCAAATAAGTAGGGGAAGGGAGGTTCTGACTGTCTAGTAACTAGACAGGAGACACAGCCCCATAACCATCAGACTGACAACATTTTAAAGTCCCACAGAAGTAAAATGCTATTATATTTGGAAAATTTAAAATGGGCATACTGCTATTGAGAGAGAAAACTAAAAATTATTTTAGAAACATTATTTCTGTTCACCTTTGAAGCAGAAGTGACGCTTGATACCCTGAATGTTTTGAACTCTCCTGAGTTTCCCCAAGGAGACAGATTCCAGAATATTCATTTCAGTACTGCTTATGTCAGTGAATAATCAATAGCAACCAGGAAAATGAAGAACTAGCTGGTGGTGTCATCAAGACAAGAGCTTTGTTCTCAAACTGATGACAGGACTGGATCTCCACACTCCAACAGGGACAGACAGACATCCAAATCCTCAACTGAGTTAAACATCGCAAAGTGCTGTGTTTTGGGTACATGGCAGGATGCTACTCTGTAAAACTGAAGCCTCTGGAACAGCCCTGCATTTACACTCATGTGTAAAGGGTAGAAAAGTGGGTGCTGATGCCTCTCTAGATGGAGGAAAGAGTTTCTCTTTCCATACATGGTATTTATGTCTTTTTCTGTAGAAGTTCGTGGCAGGCATACAATTGTTTGTTAAATTATTTTTATATAGTTTTCTACCTCTCAAATGTTTTCATTTCAAAAGAAGTTAAAAATGAGTAACACAGTTTTCTAGCATAAGAGGAAAAAAGCCACTTCAAACAGTCTTATCTCACATCCATCTAGAAGCAACTGCCTGAATTTCTTTGAGTGGTGTCCCTCCTTTATGCACAAGACTGATATACAGATGTCATTTTGAGCATTCTCTTTTGAAATTTGTGACCTTGAGGCTTCTGAATGAGCCTGAATTAAAGGCATTCAAGTTTGTTACTTTTGTAGAACAATCATGGGGGAAAGTTTGTTGGAAGTCGTTAGTACTTTTTCTAATATTTAAATTAGTTTCTTTTTTCTTTTGAAAAAATATATTAACATTGTCGATTTTTTTTGGTTCCACTGATTTTTAATTGTGCATAAGAAAAGGTTACAATTATGGTTAAATTGGGCCTAAAAACTCACAGGCTAGGCATGTGAATAATCCCAGCACTGGGGAGGTGAAGGTGGGAGATTCACAAAACCAAACCAGCCGGGGTTACATAACAAGACCCTGTCCTGGAGGGAAAAAAAAGAAATTGGCTCCTTCTGAAGCTACATACTACTTAGTGGATTTGTTTTCCTTCTCAATAACTTATAACAGCTATATTTAAGTGTGAGAGAAAATGTGATTTTTTTCTGAGATACAGTATCGCTAAGTACAGTTTCATGAATTTTTAAAAGGTGATGATGAATAATAAATATCTCTCTGCAGAGCTATTAGAATCTGTAAATAATTTGTTAATGTCTGGATCTACTTGGTCTTCAGAAACCCCGAATCATTGGCTTCTCCAGTCTGTGTTAGGTTTGTGCTGGTCTTGCTTCTCTCCCTCACCTCATCTTCCCCCAGGAGCCCTGTGTTACACGTCACACTGCTGTGATGTCTTCCTGTAGACCCATAGCCTTCTCTACCTCCGTTTATACAGACCTTATGTATTCCCCTTTAGCTTCTGAGTGTTTTATATACTCTGTGATTAGGTTTAAAGTTTTTAAAATAATTCTTTCTAACTAATTATAGAACATCCTTTAGAAAATCTCTCCATGTTAATATATGAAGCTTTTGCTAGACCAGTTGAACACTTTTTTTTTGAGGAGGTATGATACGGGTGTTTGAAATCAGGGCCTCACACTTGCTAGGCAAGTGCTCTGTTTCTTGAGCCACACCGGCAGCACTTTTTGCTTTAGTCCTTTTTTCCAGCTGCGGTCTCAGCTTGGCCTGGGTCTCTACTTGGATTGTGATCTGCCTTCCTTTTTCTCCCACATAGCTGGGATAACAAGCATGAACTGAGTGCTCTTAATTATACCACTGGTTTTTATTCCATTTTTTCCAATTAAATGAATGTGTCTGTGTATACTGATATTTTATAATTATTCTTAATAATAAACTTAACTGTTTATGTCCCTTATTTAATTTATTTTTTGGTTTTGTCTGAAGAAGTTAACGCCCTGGGGAAGCATTAAGTAAGAGTAGAAGGGCTGGAGACACAGCTCAAGTGGTAGAGCATTTGCCCACAAGCGTGAAGCTCAGAGTTCAGAGCTCTGGTGCCCCCCCCACAAAATAATAACAAAACAAGAGTTGTGACCATGACTGTCCTTGGTCATCTATTACTAATGGAAAGGTCAACCTTGTTCATCTCAGCGTGACCCTTGTGACGTGTGATTTACTATGATAATTCATTGCTCAGTGCCATTGTGTGTGGTGTTTCTTTAATGCTACTTTCTGTGCTAATGTGAAGTATATTTGTCCTCTCCGTTTCACTCAAAGAATTTACATACATAAAAAATTTGGATCTTTTCCCCCAGCAATGTGCATCCAAACACACACACACACGAGGACTTCAACTAGTGGGGAACAAGCCAATGACTTTCATGAAATCTCATTTCAAAATAGTAAATCAGAAGCCCCAAGGTTTTATACTTTTATTAAATGCTTCACTCTTTCTACTTTCTCTGTGTATTTATGGACTATTTTTCACTCAACCTGGGAACTGATTAATAAGACTTTAGATTTTCTTTCTTGTATTTTCTAGAATGGCTTTCATAGGACAGTATCAATTCTCAGTTAACCAAGAAAAACAATGGGACATTCTTGTTGACTGCATTTGATTTCATTTTTATTTCTTATTGTTTTTGAAAATTCTGCTTCTCTGATTTAGTGGACTTATTTTGCTCTCCTGCAGATGGTTTTAGAAGTGTCCTGTTGTTCTTATTCTCCTTCCTGACATTTTGGAGGACATATTTAACCTTGATCTCAAAATATTTGTTGTCTATTCACAAAAGACTTGATATGTGGTATTTATCATTTAAGTAAAATTAAAAGGAATTAGCAAATCATACAGCTTCCATGGAGCCAACATGATCTAGCTGGTTGGTTATGAATTTTATTGTTTATATAGCTGTGCATGTGTATATATATTGTTTGGACCAGCTCTTCCCCCTCACCCCCCCACCTTGCTTTCAGGCAGAACCTGTTGGTTATGACTTTGTAGCTGACGGAATCTTCCATTCTCCGATTCTCCAGCTTCCAATGATATAGACCTGTAAGAAAGGGAGAAAGGACATAGCAATGAGCAGGACTCTAAGGCAGCCCTGAGTCCAGAGAACAATCTGCCCATGCTGCTTGGAGCCCAGGAGACTCAGACTGTCTGCACCTGCTCCAAAGCAACTGTTGGCTGAAATCACCTGTTCCAGCCTCAAAATCAAAGTGCACAGGCCGCAATTCTCTTGCTTATATATTCATAGCTGTTTTAATATATGGAGGTAGTTAAAAACTACACATGTAAAGTGAAATAGTTCTCCAATAACTTTATGTAACCTGGACGAAAAGCACACACCCCTGTGAGGGTGTTTCTTGAGCCTTCCTCTGTAAAGCACAGCACAGAGATAGTGAATGAGAGCAGGAGCTGAGTGCTGCCATATCCTTTCCATATACTGGCTTTTTAGGGGAGCCAGTACTTCCTTTTGGGGGTTTCTAGTTCTAATTTACAGTTTTTATGGTTTTATGTTCTAATTTACAGTTTCTTGTCTTTAGCTCTTTCTATGTTTGTTCTAGGGTCTGAGGGTATAGGGATCCTTTTATTTTAAGCTTTGTGTCTCCAGAGCATCTCTCCCATATTCTCATTTAGTAAATGTTGGTAGGTTGAATGAATGATCAAATACCTGGGGATTGCAATTGATCTAAACAAAGACCCCTCTCGCTTTGCTTTTATCATAAGTATCCATCCCAACCACATCCCATGCAAAGTTCTTTTTATGGAATTGCATTGTTCGAGTAATTCTGATCCCATCATGCTTAAGTCCATATTCCTATTTGATTTGAAAAGTAATTTAACAAGCTAGATTAGATTTGAAGATGTTCTACAGAATGTAGTCTTTGTAAGCATACAAGATGATGTTCTTTCACCTCCTGATTTACATACACAAATTGAATTTGTTCCAAAAGCTTGATGTTCAGTGGGGTTGATCATCTGTTGATCTAGGGCCATTTCTTCCTATTCTATGAGCCATCATAAACATTCAGCATAAGGTCACATTCATCGGCTGCATGATGAGCAGAAGAGTTGCTTCTTACAGTACTGAGGGAAGTGGTATAAGTGGTGTACTTTTAGAGAAATCCCAGGGACTCATTCTGATTGAAGTGCAAACAATAAGTAACAACAGCAGGTTTCAGCATTTCAGTATACCCAGCACTGAGTATACTTACCCCGCTCCTTGCACACTGCTGAGAGGCACAGAGAGAGTGATTTGCCCAAAGCCACCCAGCTGGTAGGTGGTGCAGCTAGGCGCCCATCCTATGTGTGATGCTTTCAGTCTGTGCACTTCATGCCACCTCTGCAAAAGCCACTCACTCACTCACTGTTCATGATCAGTGTGACTGTTTTGCTGTATCAGGAGTGTCCCTGAGCCATGCTGCCCACTAAAGCCTGGGCTTTGAGTAAAATACATTATGTCACTTCATTGAGTGACAGGTACTGCGACTGCCCAAGAGAAAGCAAATAACCTGTGACAGAGGTCATTCCAAAGACAATAGAAGGTTTCATTCTACTCTTCAGGATTTGTAACAACAGCAGCTTGATGGTATGTGGAGTATGACCAAGACAAAATGAAGAAGCATTTTGATACCATAAAAGATGGGGGAGTCAAGAAAGTACACTATTGAGTAAAAGGCTCTCTAAGTTTCAAACAAGTTAAATTTCCTAGCAGTCATTCAAATGTAAAGACTATTGCTTTATCATTTTCTTTAAGAGTAGAAGTCCTGACTTTAGTGGAAATGAAGCCACATTCAGGCCAGACTCTCAGAGAAGGGAGTAAACAGACAAGGTATCAATTTGCATGTCAGCACTCAGCTCAGAGGCTACACCAGCAGAAGTGACTTCACCCTCCCTTGGCTCCTTTAGGGTTTGTCTTGTGATGTTCAGATGTCAATTTTGAGTCTACTTGATATTATTCAAGAGTCTTTTAAAGCACATGTAAATGAAACTCTGCACTATTCATTAGGACATTTATCAAAGTGTTTTCAGTTTCTTTTCAAGGCTAGGGAAATCAATGCAGAAATGAGGTGTGTTCAGCAGGCTTAGCTTTCTTACATACTAAAATAACCACAGAACTGTACACAGACTCTCTTGGTCATGATTAATTCTTTATGGAAATTGCCTTAATGTGAATAGGGAAAAGAATTTTGCCTCAATAACAATATTTTGTAGCACTGATTTTTTCCAATGTCAGTTTGCTTCAGAAGGTTTGGAAACAGAACTTGGAGACCCCAAATAGCAACACACTAAAAGTCATGGTCACACCATTGTAGTTGAAGCTAAAAAGCAAACTGTTTTCAGGCCAGTGACTGCCTTAGCCCAGAGAACAGGGGTCAGCTGGCATTGTAACAATACAGACAGGCACTCACCAAAGGTGTTCACAAACCCGTATCTTCCGGACCCCCTTGCAGGAAAGAGTAATGTGTTCCTGGTGGTGTTGGAGGTTGGTCACATGCTGTCTGCTCACCTCTGACAGCCCATTGCCCATTGAGGATTAACAGCTCTTAGAGAGCCTAGGCACTAAATCCTAAGCATCCCAGCTTTTCCCAATCTATTCGCATCAACCCTATGGTGTGCTGGACTGTTACCGAGAGACAATCAGTGAGTATTAACTAGCCTACGAATGGTGGTGAATTCAAGAAAGCACAAGATTGAAGTCTGGCCACGAAACTTTTTTCATTTAACACCTCACAGCAACTCCAGATCTTAGAAACATGCTCTGAAAAACTTAACAGGGCTTTCTTAAAGTGTAAGAAAAACAAACCTAGTCTTACGCTTTTAATGAGCCAAAATACTTTACAAAAAGGGTTTTTTATCCCAAAATGTGGAGAACAATTGCACAAGTGTGCACCAGGGAAAGAGAATTGGGACTGCACAGAAGGACCCCAAGGTGGGGGCAGCTATAAAATAGTCACGTGTGCTGCTGTTTCCCCATCAGCGTCAAGAGAAAGGGCCACTGTTCTTAGGGGTCACTGAGCACCCATCTCCCTTTACTTCTTACTTAGTTTGCAGAGTTGAACCCTACTTTGTAGATGTAAAATCTGCACACATAGGAGACTCAAGTGTTTCCTGGTATGGTGCTGGGCGAAGTGGTCAGTATGCCCTCCATCAGGACTTGCGTCACACTGGAAGCCCACATTGGATTCCTCAATGGCAAAGTGATAGAATCTCACCTCATGACCTTGCCTAATATTCTAGGATTTTGCCAGTAACATTGCAAAATAATATTTGGAATTTTCCAGGTATTATAATTTTTTGGCCTAGGGAAAAAATGCAAAAATGACTTAAGTCAGTAATAACTTTTTATTACTGTTTATTTCAAGAATGTGTGAACCAATTTCAAATGATATTTTTGTAAAATGTACTTTAATTCTAAATGTATTACATTAATAATTCTATCATTTAGTTGATACTGAATTTGTGAAATTCTTTTCAATCTATTTATCATTGGCATAGTATTTTCTGAGGGCTAATCATGATATAAAAATTATTTTCTACTTTTGGATAACAAGTTAGATTAATTTCTGTAAACTGTCTCAATGGTTCATATATGCCATTTTATTGCTCCCTCCCTCACTCCCTCCCCCTAGCTCTGTCTCTCCTCCCTCCCCTTTTTCTCTCTCTCTGACTCTTTGTCTGTCATGTTAGGAATGGAACCCAAGGTCTCATGCATGCTAGGCAAGCGCTCCTTCACTGAGCTACATCCCAGCCCCAAACTGATAGGTTAGCGTTTTGCTGCTGTACAGTTGATCTTTGGAATAGCAGTGCCAGCCTGTTCCTCTGACTTACCCTGTGAAACAGGGAGGATTGCCTACAAGACTCTTCCCCGTTTCTTTTGTTCTAAGCACAAGGAACATCTTCAACAGGTTTTGGCACTTCTTTGTTTTTTCTACAGTGACAAGGAAAAGCTTAGAAGAAATTTGTGTCCTGTTTACCTTAGTTACCAATGAAGAGGGCATATTTTTCCCCTGAGGGTTGTTTCTGACTTTATAGTCTGTCTTTTGTAAACCTGGAACTTCTTGCTGCTCAGTGACATGATGTCATTGAGTTTCACTTTTCGGTCAATGCAGGGATTGAACTCAGGGCCTCATACCTAGCACTCTGCTACTTGAGCCACTCCGCCCCAGTTTTGATATTACTGAATCTGATTTTTAGAGCTAGTTCATGTTCTGTTCATTTAGCACTTAATGTACTGTGTGACAAGAGATGGTAATCCACACAAGGTCTTCTTTTTTTTTTAATAAACATTTCTCCCAGCATCATTTATTTCATGATCAGGTCATCTCTGCATTGTCATGGTGTCCTAGTTCATAATATGTTGATTTTATACATCTCAGGCTCTGAACTCTGACTCTCCAGTCTCAGTCTCTCAGTCTCAGTATGGTTTAATCGTGGTGTATCTCTTCATTAACCCTTAGTAAGCTAAATTTAAGAGTAAGTTAAAGGGCAGGGCATGCCGTTATCCTTAAGGATGGGACAGTAATTAGTGTGCTGACAGCTCTTTCTTTTTTTAAAGTCATTTCTCTCTGATTATGGGAATTATGTCATCTGAGTGTGTAATCTCACTTTCAGAGGAGTTTAGTAGTTTTATGGTAGAATTTCTCATTAAGAGTAAAATCAGAGGCCAAGTCTGGAGGTGTTGGTGCATGACTGTAGTTCTTGCTTCTGGAAATTTCACAAGAATTCCTCATGAGAGAGGCCTCAGTGATTTAACTGCTGCTGTCAAAAATAGAATTGTCTCCTTTTGGGGAATGAAATAGATAACTTCAAAGTTGATTAGAACCTGTACTACCTATCTTTACAACACAGCTCATGAGTGAGGTGATCTCAATCATATTGGACTGACTCATGTTCTAGAAAATGTCTTAGTCTTTCTAGCTGTGTAACTTCCTTTGTGAATGTGTGATGCACATTTTTCCTTATTTTATCAGTCAAGCTGTCATGAGCCAGGCATAGATTTAATTAACATCTGTAGATGTCCCATCCTTTACAATTAAACTGAGGTAATAAAGCTTGAGTGTCTATTCATGAGCTGCTTGACAAACAGACTTATGACTGTGGTCAAACTTTGACCATAATGTTCACTGAAATAAAAACTATTTTGCATTAAATGTTGGCTCTACTTAATAGCTATAGGCAGATATACATCAAAGAATTTGTATAGTTTCACCGAGGGGTAGACATGGAAACAAGCAAGTTCAGGTCCAAATGGTAATGTGTACAAGGTGCTATGTTGCATCAGAGAGCACTTCTTGATGCTTAGAGCAGGTAGGGATGACTCCAAAGAAAAGGGCACCAACAGCAGAATCTGGGAGACAGAGAAAAGCACACATAGGCACAGATAGCTAAGAATATAGAGCCTTCAGGGGATGACACCTGAGTTCTCAGGTGTGATCTGGTATCTTCGTGCTTGAGGAAAACTTGATCATTAAAAGCACAGATGGTCTATGACTAGAAATTTGACCTTCATTATGAACACAAAAGAGATCGTTATTATTTTAAACAGTGGAAGAATATGGCTCAAAGTTCCTTAAAAACATGCCTAAGTGCCATCCTCAAGTACTTCACAGCTCCAGCCCTTGTGGTATATTAGAATTCTCCAGTTGCCAGGTTCTTCCCACCAACTGACTCTCTATGTGTTCTTTTTTCCTAGGTCACCAAATCACTTGTAATCAATGATTTGTTTTTGTTGCTTTTTGTCTTTGCAGTTGCTAGGTAGGTATTCTATCACTTGACCCATGCTTCTAGCCCTTTGTGCTCTTGATATTTTGGAGATAAGAGCTCACATTTGGCCCAGGCCAGCCTGGACCACAATCCTGTTATTTTATGCCTCCCACCATCATTGAGATGACAGGCATACGAAATTACCAGTTGAGATGAGGTCTTATGAACTATTTGCCCTGGCTGGCTTTGAACCACAATCCTCCCAATCTCAGTTTTCCAAGTTGCTAGGATTATAGGCATGAGCCACTGGCTCCTGGCTGGAATAAATGAATCTTAAACTTTATTTTTCATATTCCAATTACATAACTTCTTGCTTACTCATTACCCCTAATGTGGCTTGGCTTCCCAAGTTCTCATCCCATAATTAAAATAGCAAGCAGCTCAGATCTAAGGAAGGGAAGATTGGATTTTTGCCTTTGGAGAAGCAAAGAAAACCGAGACTGTTGACCAAGTGTAATTATTGAGAATTAAATCTCATTTTAATTAGTGGTGATGTTTCAGTCCTCTGCTCACAGAAGTACAGGAAAGTTCACTTTGAAGATGAAAAAGTGTCAGTGGACAAAATTTAGTTATTAAATCAATTTTGATCTTGGAAGTATAAGGGACCTTAGATAGCTTCTGAACCAGCCTCATCAATTGTATAAGAAGGAAAATTAATCAAATAAACAACTTTTTAAGGTCACACAATGTTTTTATTGCTGTAGATCCTATAGCCACATGGCTTCTACTTCAAAATCTGACTCAAGTTTTTCCTGGTAAGATCAGATTCCAAACCAGGTCATATTTGTGATTGTTGAGGAACTGTGGCCACAATATCTAGAAAACATACATTTTCAAGGTTAACATGAAAACACACAGAAATGTAGATCAAAATGGGTTGATTCCTTGACATTTTGACCAGAACAACTGAACTGCAGGTTAAATACCACCATGAGAAACTGAAATGGAACAATGAAAATATTTTAGCATTCTGTAGTTTGGTTATAAAAGGTAAAATTTAACAAGCCTTCTTCTGCTATAGCTGGGGATATAACCTTTGCAATTTAGACTTCTGTGAGACTAGAAAAGAGATCAGGCATTACCTCCTCATTCAGAATCTCACAGGAAGGCGAGGTGTGTTGCTGTGTCTGGACATAAGTAGGAGGTACTGGAAGTGAGCCAGAAAAGTAGATGGAGGAAGAAGGCAGGTGAAGTGGAAACTATAAAATAAAGCTCGTGTCTGGGAGTAAAACGTAAAGCCACAAAGTGGTATCTGGGGCATATTCAGACAGTGCACTATAGACTTTCACTGTCCTTTCTGCAATGTGGCTCTTGGACACTTTCTTTTAATTCTTAATAAATTTGTTCAAATTCAAATATATTATAGTTGTAACTTAGTTTCATGGAAATAATACTCTGATCTTATTTATTTTAAAAATGATGGCTTCAAAGGTGGCTAGAAACCTTTCCAAGCTACTGTCAATTTTCTTTCATTATTAAAGTCTAGGCCTCAGGTTTAGAGTTCTAGAAACACTCTCTGTATTCATGCACTGGATATTGATTCTACCAGACATAGCTTTTGCTGATATGTCACTAGAGTTTATTATGAAAAATCAGAAGTAATACCTTCAGTAGGGTTGCATCCTGAAAAGTCCAGTGTAAGTTGAAAACATGGTATGCACAGGACACATGCAATGCACCTGACCTACTGAACATCACACAGCTCACACACGGGGCACTGTTCAGCATCCTTAATTCCCTTTATGACCACATGGCTGACTGGTACTCACTGAGTGCTGCTTATTCCTGGTACTCGCATTATGAGAGAATATTGTGTCACATCTTTCTTGCCTAAAAGACCTAAATTCTAAATTTGAAGTACAGTTACACCATCACAAAGCCAAGACTACCAAGCCAGCCATTGTATTAAATCTGTATTAATGAGGGTTCCCCAGGGAAACAGAACCAATAACAAATACAGTTGTGGGTCACTTAAGGGGACAAGGATACCTGCTTAGAAACCCATTGTTGTGCAGTCTCATTTGCTATGTGAACAGCACAAAGTATGCTTACAGAAACATAGATAGTGGGCTGCTCACTGGATGTGGCCTTGTAAGACAGCCAGTTGGCATGGGAAACATAAGATGGATGAGGCTGCTGCCGGTAGAACAGAGCGTGTTGTTTTACAGTCAACTTTTTGTTTAATAAGTAGGAGTGTACTCTAAAATACCAAGAAAAAGGATAGGGTAGCAAAAACCAGTAATGGCCATTTATTGTCATCAAGTATTATGTATTGCACATACTTTCTGTGCTGTAGTTGGGTATGCTGTCGTTTTGCATGACTGGCAGCATGGTAGGTTTGTTTACACCAGAATCACAAGCATGAGAGTAAGGCATTGTGTTGGTTTGTTGTGATGGCTTCAGAGTCACTAGGTGATAGGAATTTTTCAGCTTGTTGTAATCTTACGGCACAACTGTGGCATGTGCACTCCATGCTGACTGATATGCCAATCCACAGGATGGTAGACGATACCTGGGCTGTGATATCCATGTGAATGGAACCTCTCATCTTCTACCTATGGCCTTTAAATTAGGTCCTACATTGGGGGCAGGCTGATGAAA